ACATGATTTTTGGAAGTGGGGTTTCATTAAACTTGGTTGAGCCCTAGTTGGAGCAAGGTTACTCGGGATAGTACAAGTGGACTCGCCCCAAGTAGTATAAAAGGCCAAAAAGACCCGAGTTTTTTTTTTTAAAAAAAAATAAGACTTCATTAAAAATAAAATAAAAACAGTAAAACTCAAAAAAAATAAAAGGCAATATTGTAGGAACCCGAATTTGAAATAGGCTATTTTTCACTATTTTCTTAAAACTAGAAAATCTAAAAATCCATTAGAAAATCCTAGAAAATCCTAAAATCCTGTAAAATCTCAATAAATTATCTAAAATCCCTTTAGGCTAGTGACAACTCCAGAAACCCAAATCTAAACCCCTAGATCTAGGAAACCCTAACCCAAGGTGTGGGACCCTGCCCAACTCTCTACTCATTCAAAGCCTTAATTTTTTTTATTGATAAAACTAAAGTCCTGGGATGAACATGCCTTACGGTAATTCGTCAAGAAAAAACAAAGGAAAATTGTATAAACAGCCTGCGGTTTGATACAACACCAACTTTGGGTCTTTGGGTGTACTAGGCCAACTAACTCGACTAGGTAAGTTTCCTTTCTTTTTTTCATTTCAGTTTAATTGATCTAATTTCAATTTCTTAGGATTGGTCTTGAGCCTGATCAGCCGATGGTTCCTAAAGAATCTGCTCTCTCTAGATTGAGAGTTTCTTTGAACCATGATAAACCCCACTAATCTTTATTGATTTTAATTTTAACATTTTTAAAGCATAAATTTGGAGATATTTCATCTAAGATCTCATGGGGTTTGCACCGTAGGAAAATATAAAAGATCTATATAAGCTGAAAAAATATGTAAAACTTGGATTTAGAAAAAAATTAATTTACAGGTGAAGACATCTAAGAAAAATCCAAAAAAATGGGGGAACTATAAAAAAGTCATATGATAAGAATAATTCACAAATCATTCTAAAAAATGTCCAAATTACATATATAATATTTATACGTTGATTCACCATTTCGAGAGAAATAAGGTGTAGCTTCAATAGACGATACGACGAGGGAATGTAGAGTTTGATGGGCAGGCCATTTGCATCATAGGTATAATACAACACCAGTTAAGAGGTGCAATTTGGTTCAAGTGACAAACTTTAAAATGATGATGATGATGATGATAAACTCTAAAAAGATAAGGAGCAGGCCCAAAAAGACATAGATGGAACTAATGAGAAAAGATATGGTAGCTTATAGTCTTATTGAGGTTGGCATAAAAGAATTCATGTGA